AGGAAAAGAAAGGATATTCTAATCAGACATTTCTTATTGAGAAGTAGTATTAAAAAACAGGTTTTTGGAAGAAGCTAGGAAATTTTATTTTTTTTATTTTTTTTTTTTTATTCATCCACTTGGGTATTTTTAAATATACTTCTTTCTCTTTTTTCAATTCATTCTTTTATAGTTTCCTATATTTTAATGACTTGATAGGATATTTGAAAGTGAAAACTTGTTAGCAATAAAGTAATAAACTAGGAGAATATTCGTCTAAAGATTACCACAAAGTGACATATTGTTTTTAAGGCCAAACTTGAAAGCTAGTTAGATTTGATAAAAATGTTTAGCTATAGCATATATCATACTGCTAAAGTGAAAATGTACTTATGTTTTCAATTAATTAATAAACTATGATCTAATCTAACTGCGGGTACTCACTCAAAAAAAAATGTTGATTGTAATGTAAAAGTCAATGTAATATTGATAATATTGAAGATATTATATTAATATCTTAATAAAAATACAACATTATGATATAATTAATTAAAATAAATAAATAAATAAAAATAAATTATATATTATTAACTTAAAACATAAAATTTGAACTAATATACAGTATATATTTAAACTCTTAATTTATTTTAATTTAAAATATTGGTTACTTTATTAAATATTATTTTACTATTATAGGATTTAAAAAGGTGCCTGATGATATTAAAATTTGGGCTTAACTCTAATTTACAGTAAATGCAAAATTCTCATTTCCCAAATACTTTATGCAATTATTCCGGACGAAAAGAGTTCATACATCATTTTAAATTTATTTTGTATAAGCGCCTTACCCTATTTCAGCAAATACGAGGACTTTATTCGCAATAGACTATGATGTAAAAATGAATATGAAGATAGATAACGTTTGAATTATAATTTAACATTAAAGAAAAATTACCAATGAATGATGTATATACTAATTTAAAATCGAATTCTCGAATTCATTCCACCAACTTCTTACGATCTCCCTTTCAGAAGCTGACCGAATGGTTCCCTCTACCCCATCATAAATGGCCATCAGGACAACTTCCGAGTTTTGTATGAATTGCATCATTTCTTGTATGGTGAGCTTATTCACGCTTTGTTGTTGACACGTGTGTATGAAATAGAGTAGACTGGGAATAGTGACCTCTTTAATTTTACGAGACCTTTGAAAAATGTCCGAAAAAACTGTCATCCAATAACGATCAATAAATTTTATCATTGTCTGTAAGGACCATGGTTGAGATTCCTTTATAATGTAAGTCCAGTCTTGTCCAAAGTTATCTTGAAAATGGAATAATATTGCGGGTAAAAGAAATGTGTGGAGATCAATCATTATTTTGTCAACGAGCTGTTTATGACGTGGTCCTATGTTATTTGACAATAATCTCTTAGGAACTGCCGGAGTCCTTGAAATCATCATAGAAATCACATCAACTTCCTGGGCCTTGTTATCCGAGTCACTGATGGTAGGAGTTTCAGATGCTTTGAAATTTTTTGAGGCATGAATAGACGCATAGAGAGAATGTAATGATGTTCCTGCTGAATATTTCCGTAAGTATTCGTCATTTGCCTTATTTGTTTGCGCATTACTTCTGTGATTTGATGATGCATGAACGGAGTTATACAAGGATAACGATGCCGGATCAAAATGGTTATTATAAAAATTAGAGGTGGGTGAATGTGGTTGATCAGAATGCTGCGATTGTAATTGCGGTCTAGGAGCGACTTCTGAGGGCATCGAGTTATTATATGTATGAGATATTGGTATCAGTACACAACGCTCTGAATTTTGAGTAGAAGGTGATGCACCTTGTAAAGAATCATCACAGTCCATCATTATTGTATCGGTGTCCTATGAACCGAGAAAATCGTATGAGATATCTGCGATGGACAAAGAAAAGAGCGGACGTCGAATACCTCTATAAATCTTTCTGACTCTTTATTGTAAACTACATTAGGATTGATGCAACGTTCTTGCCTAAAAGATTTGGACAATGATTTCACGCCATTATCTTGTTCGGCTTTTATCGTTTCCTCACTGCGTGATGTCAGGGAAAAAAATTTTCTTAATTATCTCTTCAAATCCTCCTGCATTCTTGTATGATGCAGTATTTAATTCTGTAAATTTTGAAAAATTCAAAATGTAAGCATGACTCTCATATTGTTTTTCTCTCAAGAGACAATTTTACTTTCCATGAACCATGGCTTTGACACATAGGTTTTTATCATTTGACAAAAGTATTATTGGATTCAGAGTCTTCGCCTGAAAATACCTTTGATTTAAAAAAAAAGAAAAGAGTAATATTAACCAGTGGACACATTCGATCATAATATCCGGTCAACGAAAACAAATCTTGTTTCAATAATAACGACTTACCTACAACAATCTAATATTTTATCGTCATTGCACTAAGATCAGATAGAAAAGGCGGCATAATATATTATAATTTCATGTTATTTCATCTATTCAATGTTCTAAACAAAATTTAAGGAAAATTTGAATTCTTACGTCGTGTTTCTCTATTTTTTCATCAAGCCTTTGCCCTCGTATACCATCCATTCTGTCGACCAGGCAGTTATGCAAGAAATAAATAGCATTTTGTGCCAATTTTTGTAGATCCGGCTGTGTACAATCGGAAAAATTGTAAGTCCTGTTTGGCCTACTTTTTAAACCATCTAGTTCTTGCAAAACAATCCACGGTATGATGATAAGTAATTCATGTTTTATCGCGTGTTCCAAAGTGAGAGTCTTTAAAAAAGCTAAGTGCGAAATAAGGAAATTGGTATCCACAACGACGTACGGCATAGATGGAAATTCGCTGGAGTCTAACGGTGTTTTTAATGGCAATGTCTGGCTAATATAAATGGGTTAATTCGCGTCACGTATTGAAAGTCGCGGGAAACAATCAATAATTGTTGAGCTGCAAATAACATACCGCAGATGAAAACTCGCAGTCTATTTCAGGCGATTTATCCTTTCGAAATTCTTCGATTTGTGAAGTAATGTCCTGTAGGGCCCATTCATCATCAATGTCCATAAACACACATACTTCGTTAGTCATTTTGTAAAGATTTTAATGTATGGTACGTGTATGATCGCTGAGATGATGAATCGATTATTGGGTATTTTCACCTTATTTGTGAGTCACCAATCAAATCTCTAAGTCAAATTCATTGTTACATAAAATCGGAATTTTCAATTCTCACTCGCACTCCACGAATGCGTCTGATAATAAATTATGTTAGTATTTGCAAAAAAGAAACAGTCGGTTAAGCAATTTATTGTATATATTTATTTATTTGTAATGATTGTGTTCTTGGATAAGCCTATTTGTAAAAAAATATATATAATTCAATCTATAATTAATTATTATTTAATAATTAAAAATGTGTTTCTTTAATATAGGAATTAACTTCTCTTCTCTGGAAAATTTTTTATGATCCACTGATAAGCAAGATTCAAAATAATACAAATTATAGATACACTATAGAAGAAAAATGGATATTTGATCTAAGATTAAGAAAAAGTTTTTTCTTAAACAAGCAATCATTGCTTATATGGATAATAATAATAATAATATTTTTTTTTTGTTTAATGGGCTCATGCCTAACTTTATTGATTTCCAAATTACATGTGTACATTGCACAAAGTGCAAATACATAGGTGTATATTTGGGGTCAATAAAGATAATAATAAGCTAAAGTTAATTCTAAAACTATTTTGAGACATATTACTCTTTCTTTTATAAAAAAAAAACCAGCATTTCAAGAGTGTGCTAGTATCATAAATGAAAATAAAAGAAAATTAAAAAATAAAATTGAACAGTCATATGCAATATATTGGTTCTATTTCTTGACACATGCTTGTCTTGTTCAAGTTTCTCCTATAGAAAGGTTTAAGGAAAAACCTTCTATTGTATCTTTACGAAAATAAGATAAAGATTAAAAGAGAAACTATACAATTTTAAGACTTGTGAGGAGGAAGTAATCAAAAAGACCCAGGTGATATATTGGTGTTCACATAATCGACTTGAGAGTCATCCAGTATATCATCAATTAAACCTATTCCTATATAAATATGAGTATGCTTATCCATTTGTATCTCTTATTTCAGATTTACTTCCTTTATAAGGGATAGCATCTAGCCTTATGATTAACATACCCTACTGATAGTCATTAATACTAATGATCAATAAGGATCTTTCAGAAATTCCAGCCAGCTTACACATTACTGTTAACATTTTTGGACTCGAGTTTCAATTGGTATAGCAATATTAACCTTCTAGTCTTCCAGCTTGAAATTTTTTGAAGATAAGACGAAAACCTTTTGAGTTGCTTTGTACATAAACTTTATTATTAAGGATTCTTAATAGTTCTATGCTTTCTCTGGTTTAGACTTTTTCAGACAGTAGAGGTTGGAATCTACTTGATATATAATCAGAATATAGGTGACTCTGACTTGAAAAAAAATCAATCAAGTATCTTGTAACCTTTACCATAGTTAGATGAACTCTTTCTTATATCTAATAATGTATTGATAGTATGTCTTATATCTATCTGCATCAGGCAATATGACTTATGATAGATCCCAGGTTCTTATAGAACCAAGAAAATATATTTAGATATATGAAATGGCCAATAGAAGCTTGTTTATCAATCTTTTTCAACATGTTTTGTATCAGTCAATCAGAATCAGTGAAATCTGTGCTATTTGAAATTTGAAGATCAAGCTAAGATAGGCAAAATTCCTCAGAAAGCCATGAAAAAGCTAGTTCTAAGAGGCCACAATCTTGATCAAAGAGTAGAGTATTAGTTCTTTGATTGAAATAAAATCTTTGTTATCTCTATCATAGCTAAAAGGTGAAAGGTACTTTACAGTTGGTTCATTTTTCTTTAGGAAATTTCTTGCCATTGATAATAAAAGTGAAAGTTGAACTTTGTTTGTCACAAGAGTTCAGTTTATTCAAAGGAAATTGTAAATAAAATATATGTAAAGTAGAAGAGTTCTAAAGATTTTCTTTAGATTGGTTTAAAAAAAGTGTTAAAACTCTTTTAGCAAAGAAGTATCAAAACTTCTTGCAAACATTTTTTTTATATGTGATTAAAGAATTAACCAAAAGAGTTTTTTTGTGGATAATATTATTTAATTAATAAATAATTCATAAATTAATATTAAAAAATCAATTTTATTTATTTTAAAATATGACCTATAGGTCAATAGTGCAGTGGTTAGCACTCCATAGGTCAGATCACAAGATACAAGTTCAAATTCTGCAAGGGACATAAATATTTATCCATTGGCCTAACCGTATATAACCGATGTTTCTAAATATAGCTATCGATCAGCAAGGAGGAAACTTGTTGATTATGTAGATGGTCTATATAAAGATTGTGATTGGATCAATCTTTGAAGTCAAAGCTAGGACTATTCTGAGTTGGTAACTTTGCCTTGAAGGCAATAAGAAGAGCAAATCTAATCGACTGGTAGAGTGCCTCTGAAACAAGTACTTGGTAATGCTGTGTTTCCATTATCTTAACTATCAGGAGGTCTTGATAGGAGGAAAAACCCATGGACCATTCCAAAGGATCAAAATACTGGATCCAGGATAAAGAAAATTTGACGACCTGATAATTAGTCTGCTCTTATGGACCAAAGAAAAAATTGTACTGGAAACAATCAAGAAGGAATCACAGGGCTTTCCGATAAGGTAGTACTTGTATATATAGTATAGTCTATATAAACTAGCTAAGTATAGATATGATACTAAGAATAGTTGATGTACATAGTACATATTTAGTGTACACAGAGTAAACAGAATAATATGTAAGAAGGGGTTGCATATGAATTACTGTATAGTTACTAAGTAGACGCAGGAGTCAAATGTAAATTAAAATTTGCTAAATAAAAGTCTTGGACACAGTATTCCGGTGGATAATTCACAAGGCATTGAATTGGTTAATGGTGTTCTTTGGTAAATGGTTGGCAGGTTTAGAAAATTTAGATCGATTATCCAGTGGTCCGCATAGTTTTAAAAATTTTTTTCAGCACTAGTTAGACCTTAGACTAGTTCTCTTTTCCTTCTTAAGAGGTGGCCAGGCCACAAGGTGAAGTCTTCATAAAGGAGCTCTTCTATTGTAATACATTATTTGTATAAATACTTCTTACATTTAGTTCCAGAGGAACTTTGTTTTCTCTACCTTATGTAAAGATCTCTCAATAAAGTTTTGGCTTAGCCAGTGTTAAAAAAAAAAAAATTATTTTAAAATAATATATGTTGATATCAATAAAATAAAAGTTAAGAAATACAAAAATATAGTTTAGAACAAAATATATAATAGAAAAATAATTAATCTATCACTATTTTCCTAAAAATTTCCTTTTTTGGTAATTGTTTAGAGAAAAGGATAACACAACCCAAGCTCAACAAACACAGTAAAAAGAAACACAACTACATCACCCCACTTGGAATAACATATAAAGCTCTATAAACAAGTCACCAGAAGAAGAGTATATAATAATAATATTAGTACTTTATCCATAAACTTTTGAGGAGACCTATGGGTCCATAGTGCAGTGGTTAACACTCCATAGGTCATATCACAAGAGCCGAGATCAAATCCTCCAGGGGGCAACCTCTGAAAAAAAAAGCAGGTAGTGATCTGCATCCATTGACGTAATCGTATATAACCGATGTTTCCATATATAGTTGTCTATCACCAGTTGACTGGAGTTCCTGAGTGATACAAGCCAGTCTATACTGGATTGTGATAAGGCTGAATGTCCGAAATTGGATAGGATTATCCCTTGATACGGCTGCATTACCAAAAAAGGGTAATAAGAAGAGTAGATATTGAACCAGTAGCATGCCTCTGAAGGAAAGTTATGAAGGTCAAAACTGAAACGAATAGCTTCCGACATATCAAAAACTCAAGCATATGGCTATGCCGGGTTTCACAGACTTGACTATCGGGAGGCCTTGGTGGAAGGAGAAATCCATGGACCACTCCGAATAACTTGAAAATCTGAAGAAGTTCAGGATAAAGAAAATTTGATAGCTTGATAACCGGACTATTCTTAATAAAACTGATCTGGGAATAATTAAGAAGGAATCGCACATATTTCCTCAAAAAGGTGTAGGACTTGCATATAGAAGTAGGATATATATAGCTACTCATATAAATAGGTTTACTTCAAAATATGTATAAGGCCTTGTTTAAAATATATGTGATCTTAGTGAACATGGTTCTTATGTAAAGACCTGGGTTTGGGTCCTCAGTAACTGCCATAAAGTAACTAAATATATATAAACAAAAGATATGATTCACTAATTCAGATTGAGCCAAACAACCCAGAACATACACAACACTCCTGATACATTACGCAGTTTAAACATCAACAAATTCTAGGCAAATACATAAGTGAAAAACATGACACAATCAAAGTCAGATACTACATCATGACAAATAACTCTCCAATAAATGTCTACTCTGGTTGTGACATCTCTAACATCATAGACAACAGAGGTGAAATCTGCTATATAGAAATATCAAAAGCCAATGCTTTCAAGGTTTCTGTAATCAACACTACAAAATCACGCAGTTCATCAGACTCTGCCCTAACAAAAAAGATACAAATGTCATCCAACAGCATTAGCCAATTCTTCATAGAGCCCAACCAAGTTTTTGATGGACTAGAAATTGATAGCACTCTACACATACAGTATTACAAGATCTCTTTCAAATTGTCAATCTACATCCCTCAACCAAACAAGAACTCATCAAAGTACATTATAAAGTCAAAGATATCAATAACCTTCACACTTATATTAATGGAGCCTATAACTTCGAAAATAGTCCTAACATACTGTATGTAAAATAGGCATAAACATTAGTAACAACCAAATAAGCATAGCTTCAATAGGGCTACAATTGGAAGGACAACTGTCAGCATACAAAGCTGAACTGAAAAGATCTCTCACAATCAAAACTGACTCACTATCTCTCATAGAAAAATACAATGCATACTTCAAAAACAACATAAAAAAAATCAAGAAACTAAGGC